TTCAATGACAATTCAATGCAATGACAATTCAATGACAATTCAATGACAATTCAATGACAATTCAATGACCATGTCAGGTCTAAAGCCTGTGCTTCTCACACTGCAGTCCAACGTGCTTGCCACTATACTATCACAGCCCTGATCCACCGAGAGAAATAAAAATGCTAGTAAAGAATATGCCAACTTTAAATGGTCTTAAATGGCCTTCTGCATCCATGCATTAGATCACACAGACACCAGGGGAGTTGATCTTATCTAAAATCGACAAGGACAAAGCTCCAAGCACCCCAACATTGCTATAAAAAATAGACATAATAAGGAAAACCAGCTTTTGCACCACATCATTCAATAGATTCAATTGCATGTGAAGTGCTTTTATCAGACATCAATACCTTAAAGTTTATATTAGGTGACAATCAAGAGATATCCGCGAGGATATTTGATGCCTCTTAAGAATAATACAATAACTTACATTTCTTTTCTTATTGCTGTTGCATAATCAGCAATTCATTTGAGCTATCATTAATCCTATTAATTCCGCCATTCACTTCTTGTCACATTATAAATATTTGTTATGTAGTGTACATTGTCCCAACCGTAATATGTGCAGAAATGCTACCAAGCATATTATAAACTCGTGAGGTTAGTTCTACATAATTATGATTATTACTTTGATTACCGTGTGTATGAATAAAAAACTTTTTGCAGAACCGAGTAGTTAACAATTGCTTGATATTTAAGAACTCATCTTATGTATTCTAGTTTGAGGGGAGACGATGACTGGAGCTTAACGTAACAGAGAACATGTGTTTAATAAAAATTAATAAATATAAAAATAAATTAACACGTTTTCCCACCACTAAAATACCGACGAGAAAACGGCTCACCTCTTCGTTGTCCACCACACTTGTTGCATAATCCAAAGAATTCAGTTCGTCTAGTATTACGTTAACGTTTGAGTTTAATGATCGGTCAGATGACGACTCCTGCAGTTTTGAAATCCTACGAGCCGCGTCCTTCCAGCAAAGTTTGTCATCTTCATACGACATTTCAGCTATTACTCGCTTTGGGATCCAATCCCATCAATTTATATAAATTTTCAGTGATATTTTTTGGCGTAGAAAAAATAAAAGCAAACACCTTTAAGCCTTGGTTAAGTGCTTAGTTCCGAAATAAATATTGTCGTTCAATCTTTGACATGCTGGCCACCATTTTACTTTTATACGAATACCCACTGACCAAGATATTACTGTTTCAGTGGGAAAACAAGCTCGAGCAAGGGCGGGGAAGGGGGCGTTAACTCCGGGAGGTTATGTGCGCCGCAAAGTTCTTGTGCGGAAACAGTCATTTTATCTGGAACATCAGAAACAGTCGTTTTATATGGCACTCGCTACACTGGACTAGAGTGACGTCCTCAACGCGGTGGACATAAACAAGGCAGTCGAGGTGCTTGAGGAAAAGATTCGTGCAGCGATGAATGAGTTTATGCCGCAAAAATCTGTACGCATGTCATCGCGTGACCCAGTTTGGACGTCCCCATTAGTCAAGTGTATGCTGAGGACTAAGTCCCGTATATCTTTAAACAACAAGGAACGTCTGTCTTTATTTCATAAGCGCATTTCTGAGCTGATAACCGAGAACAGAAGAAAACCGGCTGTCATTGGTAGCGGTGAGTGGTGAAAGGGCGTGGACGCCCTATCGCAGAGTCGCAGGTCATCGTTGATAAATTTGGACAAGAACTCTCTAGTTCGTCTGAACGACTGCTTCGCCAACCTGTGCTATGATGACACTTACGTTAGACCTATTGATACGGATATCCCGGACAGTGTAAAGCCCCCGAAAATTATCTGAGTGGTGTGTCTGGAATACCTTAGTTCATGAAAAGAAAACGGCAACGGGACCAGACGCGACGAACTCCCGTACTGGATCTGGAAAGACTGTGCTGAGCAACTCACACTAATCGTCACTCACGCTTGGAATCTGTCGCTGTCTACTCATACATGGCCAGACTCCTGGAAGAGGGCAAATGTTGATTCTCTCCCCAAAGTGAACATGCCTCTAGAGGACTCAGACTACCGTGGTATTAATGTTACTCTCGTTATTGCGCGGTTGTTCGAGAAGGTCGTGTATCGTACACAAGCACAGTGAGCCATTGAGAACAACCTGAGCCACACCCAAGTTGCATATAGACAGGCAGGTAGTTGCACAAATGCCTTGCTCGCTATCCAGCACCAGACATACAAGTATTTAGATAGTAGTGACTGTAGCGCAGCGCGAATTTTTACCATGGACTTCAGTAAGGCTTTCGCGATTTTGTGAACCATGCCATTTTGTTTGCCAAACTGAAACAGCTACCTCTAAATCCGTACATTATCAATTGGTATCATAGTTTCCTCTATGCAAGACAACAAAGTGTTGTTAGTTATTTTTTAGGACAGTGGAAATCTGTCAATAGAGGAACCACGCAAGGTAGTGTAAGGGAACTGTATCTTTTTAATATATTTTTGAATGATTTGGAGATTTTTTTTGATGGCTGCCCTGTGCTTTTTAAATATGCCGATGATTCCACTATTCTTTCGCCTAACACTAGGAATAGTGACCCATCTGCCGACTTAGTAGGACAGTTCTTAACATGGTGTAAAGACAATAGAATGGTCTGCAACCCTTGCAAATGTAAAGAGCTGGTTGTTAGAAAGAAAAATCACAATGTACTCTACTCTCCAATTAATAATATTCCCCAATGTAATAGCTTCGTTTTATTAGGAGTAACTTTACAGTGTGACGGAAAATTTGATGAGCACGTAAGAACTAAGCTTGTCAAACAAACAAGTGTTTGCACGTCCTACGAAAATTGAGAAAGGAACAGTACTCTCAAGCAGAGATTGATCACCTTTTTATATCCATTGTTTTGCCTAATTTTAGCTATGCGCTTTCAGTCTATGGGGCATCTGAGTCCGATCTTACGGTTGTACAAAATTTTTTAGACCGATGTCATACAACGAATCAAAATAGGGCGTCCAATTTGAATTGCTATTGTTCTGGACTGACTAGCTTCTCACACATGTGATAATCCTTTTGTGTTTCCACGTCAAGACGAGGCTAGTAAGTCCAAAACAACGGTAATTCAAATTGGACGCCATATTTCGATTTGGTGAATAAACGCCGTTTTATCCCATTTCCAGTTTTTATTAAGAACCTTTCAAACAAACAAGAGCGAAACATTTTGAATAAATTAAAATCAACGGATTGCCACCCCTGAAAGACATCATTCCTGTCCAGAAGACATATGTACACAATTTTAGGGAAAAAAAGGCTGCGGACGCCCGAAAATTAATACACAGCGCTTCATGAACACCTTTGTAAATAGGTTGATATTTAAGCTCCATTTATTGTAATGTTTTTCCGGATTCACTATAATATAAGATATGTAGTTTTATCTTAGGATGGAATAAAGACTATTATTATTATTATTATTATTATTATTATTATTACACATTGTTGTAATAACTCATGTGCAGTTGTGAAATAGAAAACTGAATTTAATTATTTTGGGAATTATTACTTTGAAAATTAGTGCAGTTCTATAATAAGGATATGGTTAAACTGTATTTATGGTCCTTGGTGAAGAAAGGTTTTGCTGTTTGATTTCTCCTTATTCTATATAAGGGCTGAGTTGTTCAAAACTTAAGAAAATTTCAAATAATTCTTTTTTTTAATCAAATGAATTGTCACCCACCTCGTATTTTTTTTAAATACATAAGCCAAGGAGTATTCTCTGCCGTCTTTTTATTATGTGAATCCTACAACAACTGTAAACTCTACAGCATAACTCTACTTAAACTGAGTGGAGGATACGCAAGAATTCTCGAAACTAGCTATCTGTTAGTTTCGTTTGAGTCATGAGCAACAGGTCCTCAAAAATGAGTAGTGAAGCCACAAGCATTTGGTTACACCGTTTTGCGAGAGATTATGATCAGGGAACCATTTTTAACAAGTACCGATATACCAATAGGTCATTGTCGATTAAGAATGAGTCAAATGGGTTTTCCAGGCATGTGTGTCAAAGCTTACTTAAAATTAAGAGAGGGATTTAGAAGCAGTGAAAGAAGGAAACATCGAGACCTCGAAAGAAAGCTTAATTCAAAGATTTCCATGCATTTTTAGCAGTTAGCACAGGTAATGCTTTTATCCTCTTTATGTTTGTGTCTAAAATGGAACGCCCATTATATTCTACTTCGGTACCCCGCTCAAACGAATACAAAAAACATTTATCATTCATTAAGCAACCGCAATTGGGGTGTATCAACACAACCCGTATGCGGACTAAAAGAACGGGAAAAATGGAAAATTAAATACCAAGTGATAACGAAACCAACAACAATGATTGAACCTTATCCTTATTGTAGCCTTGCTTTGCCTTGTCTGATTTTCAATGGGCGTGTCTTTTAAACAATCTGTCAGGCACTCGCGCATTAGCAGCAGCGGAGGCACCTCCAGCCCTAAGGCTATATGTAGACCGTAGTCTTGTTTGGGAAGGCCAATGGAATCGAAAGCGCTAAGCACTATCTCCCGCTCTCTAGTATAAGACAGAGGCAGAGCCGCGACTGAGTTTATAATCTCTGGTAGCCCGAGCGGGCGAAAAATGAACTCTTCGCTGTCTGCTAAAAAAGAAGCGGCCTCAAAATATCGTTGAACCGATAAATAAGGACACGTATGCTTGAAAGTTTTGGCGATAACAACCCAAGCCCCGTCTCTGTGAATGTCAGTCTTACTTCGATGAACAAAGATTCTCATAAAAGAATCTTCAACTTGAAAATCACACCTGCGCAACTGAACTAACTCGTTCAAACGAAAGAACCCCGCATAACCTAAAACACACAAAGTAAGCACTCGTAAATCGGACAGACTAGCGGAAGGAGATCCATACTAAGCAAATAAAAGCCGAATGGCCTCGGGGGTCACTGGCTTTTTCTTTTTAACAGGAACACTGAGAAGTCTCTTAGCAGGCTCTATTAAAGATAAAACCAACGAGGACTTACGGGGGTCGGGTAGACCTGACAAATCATGCACCCACTTGAGCCCATAATGGACTTCGTCAATAGTACTGCAGGAAGCAGATTCCTGAGAAAGAACAATGAAACATATACACTAGAAGCGGGAAATATTACAATTTCATTAAACTGAGGCCCATTTTCTCCAAGTATCGAAACCTCTTTTGTATATCCCGGCGTTGGATTTGAGTAGAACTGTAGGAAATATTTGAACCAGCGCCCGGAGTCGCTTGTCTTCAACCTGTTGAAAATTAGACTACAAGGCATCTCCGAGAACTTCTACGAGGACAAGATGAAAAATACATGGCAAAATTCTTCCATACACCACTGACCGGATGCAAGGTACTCAAGGCCGTATGGGCCAAATCAAAAACAAGGATAGATAAGATAAGGTAAGGCACTCGGCATGTTAGTTTCATGCGAAACAAAAACAAATGAACTGAAGCCACTCAGCGTGAAAGAACTAAGGACCCTTAGCGCCAACTCTGACTGCCAGGACAGCGTTGTTAAACCTGTCTGAACCAATAAGTGAATCTTTATGAGATCCAAGAAAGACATCCAAGACTTTAAGACTGTCTCTCACATAGACCGCAACACCCCTTTTTTCCTTTTGTCCAAGTCTGCCCAACCTCTGTCCCGCCTGAACACATTGTAATTTGGGACATTCACTACGGCGTCCGGCATATTGGTGGAAAGATGAGTTTCACTGACAATACACACATCAATATCCTGAGATCTCAGGTCAGCCTCAAGCGCCACAGGTGCTCGTACATGACTTTTTGTTTTCGACAAGCCACAAATGTTCGTAAACAAACATTTTGGGACAGCGAAACCCTTTGATTTAACAATGGTGTTTTGTCAGTTGTGTTGACAAGCGGAATGTTGATTAAGTTACTCCGATTCACTTTCCGACCTTCAGCATTGACGAAACGGCGGCCTTGCATCACCGGGATTTTGTTGGTTGAGGTGGATCGTGAAATTCGAGCCCCCTATTGCCTACGGTACTTCAGAATGCCGAGTGACTTGAACTGAGATAAAACGGCCGGAGATGGCTTGAAAGCTTTGTTTCGGAGAGTCAAGAGTTCAGAGCATTTTAAAGACGCTTGTTTAGCTCGCGTTAACATCAGGTAGTTCTTATTAACTCTTCCGAAAGTCCTG